GGCACTGGAATTGGATAAAGTTGTCCTGGTTTCTTTGATCGATTAATATTGTATTGTTGACAAGGTAAACACGATTGTATATATTGAGTAATCGATTGCTTCATTTTTGGCCACCAAAATTTATTTTTGATCTTTAAATATGTACGTCGAACACCAAAATGACCACTAAGGGGATCATTATGGTACGATTGAAGAAGGGAATTAATCATGGATGATGGTAAAAAAATTAATTTTGTTTTTGTAACAGAGTTGCTACGCAGTGATGCTAACTTGTATAATATACCATCTTTAAATACATAAGACATTTCTGTTGGGTCTTTCATAATTTCTTCAATTTTATTTTGAATAATTGGATCTTTTGCTTGTTCAATTTTGATTTGAGTTATATCAAAATTGTTAGATGTAATTAGATCTGACATAACTTCATCTGAATGTTCAATTTTTTCTTGACCTGATGAAGATGATTTATCATTTGTAACTGATGGTATGGTTGTATAAATTTGATCTTGTTGTTGTGCTATTTGTTTCATCTTTGAACGTGTAACAACAGCACCAACAATTTGAGAATTGTTTTCAGGAACATGCACCATTTCTGGTGGTTCCCCTTGAAATAACATATTTATACCATAATCTTCATCAAATATTTCCTCATCGTTTTGTATTGGATGACGAGATAAATAATCAGCTAAACAATTATGTTGACCTTTAATATGAATAATTTTTTCAATATTATATTCTTGCAATAATACAGAAATTCGATCTACTCGTCGATTTTTTACCGATGAATTCATCATTTTACATAAGGGACAATGATCAGTATAAATTGTAATAGATCTTCCAAGTAAATAAGATCGCATTCGTTGAAAACATAACCATATAGCTAATGCTTCTAATTCAATAGGATCATATCGTCGTTGAGTAGGAGATGTAACTTGAGAATGATAATATAAGTTTTTTATTTCACCATTAATATTCTGTTGCAATGTACCACCAATACCATTTTTTGATGCATCAGTTGTTAATATAACAGGATAATTATCATCTGGAAAATCAAGAAATAGTGGAGAAGTAATTAATAATTGTTTCAGTTGTAAAAATGCTTGAGATTGAGAAGCACCCCATCTAAATTTGTGTCTATTTGTTTTGGTTAAATTTGTTACAGTATGAATAGGTGCAGCAATTACTGCAAATTTGGGTATAAATTTACGGTACCATGAAAGAGCACCTAAAAATTTATTTGCTTCAGCTAATTTAGTAGGTTGACGTAATTTAATAACTGCTTGAATTTTTTCATTGGTTGGTTTAACACCATGTTCAGATATCGTATGAGATAAATAATCAATTTGCTGATGAAAAATAGTACATTTAACCGGATTAAGTTGAAAATTATGTTTTGATAAGGCGGATAATACTTGTGTAAGATGGTTGAGATGTTCTTCAAATGAACGAGAGTATATCACGATATCATCAATATAAACTAACGAGAATTCCCGACATGTTGATAATATATCAGTCATTACTCGTTGAAAAGATGGTGGGCTATTCTTAAGACCTTGAGCCAGCACGTTCCATTCGAAGAGACCATCTGGAGTAATAAATGCAGTTTTAAATTTGTCTTCTTCTTTAATTGGAAGTTGCCAAAATCCACTCTTCATATCAAGTTTAGAAAAAAAATTATAACCACCACCTAATAATTGTATTGCTTGTTCCATATTGGGTAATGGATGATTATCTTTAAGAGTAATATTATTTAATTTTTTATAATCAACTACCATTCTCCATGTACCATCTTGCTTAGCTACCAGTAATGCTGGTGCTGCATATGGAGAATCAGATGGACGAATTAATCCGAAATGCAATAATTCTTGTACTATTTTATACATTTCCTCTTGTTTACTTGGGGTAGAATAATATGGTTTAGATACTGGTGGAGGATGATCAAGCGTTTTAATAGCATGAGATGTTACATTACTAGCAACTGTTAATTTACTTGTGTCAAATAATTTTGCATATTGATTAAGAAGAGTTTTTACTCTATCTTGTTGTTCAGGATTATTAATATGTCGAATTAAATTATTAATATTCTTGTGAACTATTTGATGATTAACAGTTAAATTTCTTTTAAAGGATAATGTAGGAATAGTAGTTGTTCCCAATATAATACCTTTTGGTAATGAACAAGGATAATTTGTCGGATTATGTAATGAAATAAATGACGTATGACGATGAACAGTTAATGACGAATTTAACATTAATATAGGTAATCGTTGTTGTAATTTGAAAGATGGACAAAATAACACTTTTGCTGATGATAATCTAACAGATACAGGAACTACCATTGTTCGTTTTGGTGGAATTCGAATATTATTAATTAAACGTGTCGGATAACTAATATCTCCTTGATTGAGATCAAATTTTAATGTTGTACGTTGATGATCATTACATATTGATACCATCTGTTCTTCCGTGTTAATGATTAATTTATATTTATTTATAAAATCCATGCCTAATATACAATCAGCACATAACTCTTTAACAACAAATGCTTGAATAGAAGTAAGCATATCTCCCATAATAATAGATAAGTCCCATGTGCCAAGAATAGAGAGAGATGTGTTACCATCTGCTAAAATTACACGTTTATATAATTTATTAACAAATTGTTTACTATTTAAAGGATGTAATGCTTTGCTTGAAATAAAAGTTCGATTTGCACCAGTATCAAGCATCACTTTCATTTTTTTATTATTTACAAAAACATTAAGATATAAAAGAGATGTGTTGGCTGTCGATGGATTGTCATGTAAAGTATTGGAAGCAACACCACCGACCGTTACTTCCTTTACCCGAAATGGGTACGGGTACAATCCCGAGCATAATGTCCAGGAGTACCACATTTATAACAATTATTTGATTGTGATGCATATTGTGGATATCTTGCAGGATCATGATTCCGAATTTGCTGGTTCGAATTTTGTACATTATATTGATGATTTTTCCGATATGGTTGTGATTGTAGATGTTGAAAGGTATTATGGCGAGTTTTATTAATAGATTTCTGTGAAATATTTGGTCGTACTGATGGTTTTTGAAATGTAGCAGCATTGATATTAACGTTATTGTGTTACACATCATTATTGGTACTTGTTAATGTTAATGTATCTTCAACTTTTCTAGCAATCGATAAAAATGCATCCGTTGTTTTTGGATCCTGTAATGCAACATGTATTTTTAATGATTCTTTAATACCAGCCATCAAATATTTTAATTTTAATGAATCAGGCATAACACGATCAACTTTCTTACATAATTCTATAATTTTATCATAATATTGTGTAATGGATTGATTAACCGTTTGTTTGTACCATTTTAATTGTTCAAAAGCTAATTCTTGTACCTTTGTTGATCCAAAAGCCTTTATAACAGCTTCAGTAAATAATGACCATGATTTAATCGTCGTAGATGTTTGTGTCCACCATCGATATGCATCATCTTGTAAATGGATTGAAATATATTGTAATTTTTGTTCATCATTCCATTTTGCCATTTGAAAACGTTGTTCTAATTTTTCTAACCATTCACGAACATCATCTTTTGAACCACGAAAATATGTTGGTTTTTTAATAATTTCATCGGCAATTGTGCGTTGTAAATGTGATGTAGATAAAGAGCTAGAAATAGAATTTGACGGTACATCCGCCTCAATAGGAATATTATTTTGTGCTGGTGGTGATGTAGATGAATATTGTTGGAGAAATAATTTACTAAAAGATTCAAAATTTGTGATTAAATCAATATGTCCTACATACCACAAATAAGCTTCATCAATTAATAAAAATGGAGCAGTGGACAATAGTACGAAGTCGTTGGGGAAATTGTTCCCGTTTATGGAGAAATGCTTCACCCCACATAAATTCATGCATAACAAGGAGAAATGGAAAGAACGAAAAAAAAATATATATATACATATAATCTATTATATGATATTGTGCATATACTTGAATTTAAAGGGAAATGGTGTTTCTTTCAGAGGGAAATGGTTCAACAAGGAGAAATGGAAAGAAAGAAAAAAAAAAAATATATATATACATATAATCTATTACCCAGTGAAAAATATTTATCAAAAAGAACGACATTCATCAAAGTTTTATTCAGTAGATATTCAGATAAAATGTCTGTGCCTATAAACATTAAAATACAAATTATTCTATCAGTGGTCAAATTTGATAAAGAATCGTCAAAATAAAAATGATATTAGCGAGTTCTGTCAAAGTGATATTTTAGCAGACCGGATACTTTCTGAATGTTTTAAAGTAATAAAACAAGAAAAAGTCGCTGAAGTTCACGTTGAAGATGAAAGTATATTGGTATCAATTGTTCGACATGTTTGTAAAGTTTTTTTAATAGTATATTGAATTATAACAGAACTTAGTAAATAATTCTTCAACAAAGTTCGAAATTCTTCTTCGCGGTTGCATAAAAGACGATATTTATTAAAGATCACATTAAAATAATAATAAAAGTCGGCAGCTAAATAACTATAGTTTTTTTTCACCAAAAATTATTTTCTAGCCACATTCCATCGAATAAGTGACCTCTCTATGATGCTCGAATATAATTTTCCAAAAATAAGTCTAACTTCTCTCTCTCTTTTCCATTTCTCCTTGTACTTGCAGAAATGGATAAAGCATTTCTCTTAGAATTTTAACCATTTCTGCTTGAAAAAAAAGACTTCTGCTGGTACATACCCTTAAGATGAAAAAAAATAAATATCCATTTCTCCGTGTATGTTTTCCATTTCTGCTTATAGATCGAGAAATGGATAAAGCATTTCTCTTATAATTTTAACCATTTCTGCTGGAAAAAATCCATTTCTCCTTGAACATACCCCTAAGATGAAAAAAAATAAATATCCATTTCTCGATCTATAAGCAGAAATAGAAAACATACAAGGAGAAATGTTGCAATGAATGGGAGAGATAATATTTCGATCACACTGCAATGTTTATCAATAGTCAGAACAGAACAAAGGAAAAGAACAATTTTGTACATATTTTTCACTTTTCGTCATTTTGTGTAGATAATGACCTTGTGTATAGATGGAAAGCTTCACTATTGTTTTTGAATAAAATTAAATAAAATGATTGACAAATTAGTATACTTTGCTATTAGTTTATTTTCTTATATCTCGTCCAATAATATAAATAAAAGAAAACTAACTCTGTCTCTGGTAAGATGAAATAAAACTAAAGAAACACTAATTTATCTCTATCGAATAAAAAAATGATTATTTCTGTTAAGATTGAATAAAACTAAAGAAATTTTAAAAAAACGGATTTTTTTGATTAATATTGAAAATAATCGAAAGGGCACTAATTCTCTCTTTACTAGATAAAAGAAATGATTGTTTCTATTAAGATGTAAAAAAACTAAATGGGCAATACAATACAAATTGTGGGAAAAGCTTGCTAAGTTCACGAAAGAGAAGAATTATTGTATACTCGTTTGCCGAACGACTCTGAATTTTTCTAGAATCCTTCTTATTGTTGCACATTGCTTGTGTCTATTTTTATTGTTTTTGTCAGTGTATTGTAAATGAGACTGTCACGATATCGGCAGCTAAAAGCTCAACGTTGAAAACAGATGTTGATAAAAGAACTAAGAGTTATGATGATAATATTTTATGCAGGAAATAATGAGCAAAAAAAATTAATATATTTGAGAACACTGACGAATCCATTTGGAGCTAGTCAATATTCTTTCTCAATATAACGAGATAATTTTATGTGGGTTATGAAACGGACGAGAAGGTGTTCTGTATTTTTAAAACTGATTTTTGAATTCACGAGAAAGCATTCGACAATTAGGAGAACGACAGAGAATGCGTTCTTTTCTCGCTAAGAATGATGTTGGATTGTCTGGAACGCGTCCATCAGTTCGAAGAATCCGTTCTCAAGTATTTCTTGAGAGAAGGTCAAAGAAAGCATTCTCATTTTGATGAAATCCGATCCTGACCGTTCCAAAAATGAACGGTTCAGAAAGCTTTCTCTTCGGATGAAGAACGATTTTGAACCGAAAAAAAACCATTCCATAAAAGCGTGGAACGACAAAGAATGCGTTCCTTCAGATGCATAACTCATTCTTGTCGCTCATGAACGCATTCGCCCAACTATAGAACGTGTTTTTCACGAGAAGAGTAACTTTCCATGTTTTGCTGAACGCGTTTACTTCCGTTTTTTTCCATGATTATATTTCACTGGGTATATGATATTGTGCATATACTTGAATTTAAAGGGAAATGGTGTTTCTTTCAGAGAGAAATAGTTCAACAAGGAGAAATGGAAAGAAAGAAAAAATATATATATATATATACATATAATCTATTATATGATATTGTGCATATACTTGAATTTAAAGGGAAATGATTTTTCTTTCAGAGGGAAATGATTTTTCTTTCAGAGGGAAATGGTTTTTCTTTTAGAGAGAAATGGTTCAACAAGGAGTAATGGAAAGAAAGAAAAATATATATATATATACATATAATCTATTATATGATACTGTGCATATACT